ACATAGAAGTCAAAGGATACCCATAAAGGTAGACAAACCAGATACTCAAGATTAAATAAGAAAACGGAGGTCTAAAGTCATTCAATAAAGTATGAGAAAAAAGGTAGTCACTAGAAGAAAAACATAACATTTCTAATTACAAAGAGACATTTTAGAAAATAAAAGAGCAAAAATGGGTAACAGAGAGAAACTTAGCAACTAAAACACAACATACATAGCAATGTAATTAAATCATATGGCAAATGTGTGAGTCAGACCAATAAATGTGAATGGGCTAAACTCACCTATTAAAAGAAAAAAATGCTTTTTCTTTAGATTCACAAGCAAGCCCCAACAATATACTGTATATCAGAGACACACCTAAAAGACAGTCAGTTCACTGAAAAGGACATACAGATGGCAAATAAGGATATACAAAGATGTTTGACATCATTAGCCATTAGGGAAATTCAAATTAAAACTCCAATGATATATCACTATACACCTATAAGAATTACTGAAATTAAAAATCGTGACAATCCTGAATGCTGGAGAGGATGCAGAGAAATCAGATCTCTCACACATTGCTTGCAGGAATGCAAAATGATACAGCCACTCTGGAAAATAATTTAATTTGGCAATTCTTTAAAAACTAACTGTATACTTACCATATGACTCAGTAGTCTCACTCCTGGGCATTCATCCCAGAGAAATGAAAACCTATATTAAAAACCTGAACATAAATGTCATAGTAGCTTTATTCATAATAGCCCCAAACTGGAAATACCATAGATGTTCTTCAGTGGGTGAATTACTAAAGAAACTGTGATACATCCGTGTGTTACATGATACAAACTGCGGTACATACCATGGAATGCAATAAAAAGGAGCAAAATACTCATATATGAAATAACTTGGATGAATCGCTAGGCAATTATGGTGAGTTAAAAAAGCCAGTCCAAAAAGGTCACATATTGTATGATTCCATTTACATAACATTTTTGAAATGATGAAATTTTAGATATGGAAAAGAGATTAGTAGTTACATGGGTTAAGGTGGGGTGGAGGTGGGAGGGAAGTGGTGTGGTTATAAAAGGGCAACATGAGAGATTCTGGTGGTGATGTGATTTTTCTCTATTTTGACTAGTATCAGTGCCAATATCCTGGTGGTGATATTGTGCTACAATTTTTTCAAGAATTTACTATTGAGAGTATCTGGGTAAAGGATACATGAGATCTCTCTGTATTATTTCTTACAACTACGTGTGCATCTACAACTATCTTGAAGGAAAAATTTTAAATGAAAACCAGAAAAAAAAATCTAGAAAAAAATAGAAGTGAGGGGCCAGCCCCATGGCATAGTGGTTAAGTTTGCACACTTCACTTTGGTGGCCAAGGTTCACAGGTTTGGATCCCAGCTGTGGCCCTACACACTGCTCATCAAGCCATGCTACGGCGGCATCGCACATACAAAATAGAGGAAGACTGGCATGGATGTTAGCTCAGAGACAATCTTCCTCAAGCAAAAACAGGAAGATTGGCAACAGATGTTAGCTCAGGACCAATCTTCACACACACACAAAAAAAATAGAGGTGAAGTTTACCTGTTTGGGGGATAGAAAAGACATCTTAAATTCAAAAACAAAAGTAAGGTCACATTCAATATGATTCATAGCTTTGACTACATAATATCTAAAAGTTCCTTGTAAAATTTAAAATAAACTAAAAAACAAAAGTCACAACATACATATCAGAACTGATTCCTTTAAATGTAAAGACAGCTTCCAAAAAATAGGAAAAATTCAAATCTCTCAATAGAAAGACATAGACAAAAGTATGAACAGAAAGTTTACAAAATAAGAAATGCAAACCTCCAATACTTATATAAAAGAGTTTAATCTCATTGGAATTATTTAAAACATAAGATGAATCTACTGTTAGCAGGCCAGATGAACCATGAGTATTTAGAATGTCAGTAATAAGTGTTGGTGAGCCTCAATGAAGTGAGTGGCAGAGCAACATTTCTGGAGGCCAGCTTGTCGATGTGTATCTAGGTTCTTAAAACATCATTCACTTAGCCAGCAATTGTATATCAGGAAATTTATCTTCAATTATCAAGAATGAAACAAAGTTTTATCTGTAAAGATAATCAATACAGCACTGATTATGATAACAAAGAATAGGAAGCAACTGAAATGCTCAACCAAGGTAAAATAGTGATATATCCATATATTGTATGTATAAACATTCTATTTTGGAATAATAATTAATGGACTAGTAAAATGCTCACAATATATTATGAAAAATAAAAGATAGGACACAACGTGATTAAAAATTTTTGTTAACATATACATATATATCATATGATAGTGAGAGAAAATGTAAGAAAACACACTAAATTAGGATCAGTGGTCATTTCTGGGTAGCAAAATGATGAGTTACTTTTATATTTTATCCTTTTACATATTTTCCTTTAAATGCATATTTAAATAGTCAGAAAAACAGTAATTTTTAAAAATCAAGTAGAAAGTCAACATTTTGCACTGTGTATCACGGGAAGCCACCTTTCATGAAATTATTTTTTATATGAGGTAGATAAAAGTTAATTTGGTACATTTACAATTGCAAAGTAAGAGCTTCATGCAAATAAGTGCCCTACAACAATTAGATGACCATTTTTAATGAGAACACTGCTCTGACCGCCAAGCAGCAAGGATCTGACAAGAAGAATGGTCAGAGCTGGAAGAAATGCTGGAACCAGACAGAAATGAGACATGGTTCTTGACCACTAACTATAGAGGCATGTTTTTCTCCATCCAAGAAGATGCATGTGATTCATAAGGCCACCACCAAATGAGCTTGTGGAGGAGAAAACTGGCAGTCTTGCTCCACACTTTCTATGGCCACCATGTTACTGAATACTGTTCTAGCTTTCACCACCACACTCTGCACACAAGCTGCATATATTGCATAGAAGTGTAAGGCCTACTTGAAAAGTTCAGTATGCACATGCATCATCCATGGAGCTGAAACCCAGGCACTGTGCATGTCCAGACACCAGACACTGGGCATGGACACCAACCCTTCTAGTCTGACACACGTCCTGGTTCTTATTTCAAAGAGACCAACCAGTGTTGCTAAATGGCCATGAGAATCCCTACTATCTGGAGTCCAGCCTATGGTGACGAGCAGGTAGAGGGCCAGCATATTGCATTCTTGGCCAAACAAAGAAGAGGTGACTGGGGCATTTGAATGACAGCCTTCTAGCTCTGCAGAAACTGGGAACCTGGTCCAAATGCAGAAGCCCTGGAATTCCTGGGCCAAGTCTGTATCTCCTGTTGCCACCTCGCTCACTTGTCTCTGGGGCACTGTACTCTGAGGCTGAACCCTCACTGAATCTGGAGCAAAGAAGATTTGATGGCAGTGTGAGGTGCGTTATTCTGCTAGGGTGGATGCTACATTGCTACAATGAATGCTGTTTCATTGAGAATTTTGTTTAAGTGACAGTTTTATTTCTTTTATACTCAGCAGAGGCAGATGAGAGCCTAAACAGGACTAAGTTGGCCAATTGCTAAGTTTTGGATCCTGTCCCTTAGCAGCAGGCCAACAATGTGCCCAGAGGCCTACTAAGAGATGCGTGGTCAGTGTCCCTGCAGCTTGCTTTCCAGCCTAGTGCCTTCTTCCCACACCCAAGTCTCCCAGGACTGTTATTCAAATTAAAGTCTCAGCAAAACTGCTAAGTATCAGTAGTTGCTCAAGAGCAGACATGGCCCAGTATAGTAAGTCTGCAAAAGTCAATGCTCTGTTATACACAGACTGATGTTGATCCTCACCTGGGTATGATGGCAAGGGTTCTGTCCCCGAGTCTAGCCCAGGCAAGCAGTGCCCTGCAGAGGCATGGGGCCTGAAGCAGGGACCGCTGCCTCCATGGGCTGCAGGTCGTTCCACCACTCAGCCAGAGCTGCTGTTACAAAGCTTTAGTGAGACTGGTTCTGAGAACCATGGCTATGCATACACCGAGCTGCGAGTTTACAGTCAAGAACTTCAACAGAAATCTTGTTCAACACCAAATGAATGTAAGTTCTTTTTGGCAGCACTGTTTTACAGGAATGACACACCTCTATTCTGTCCACTCACCTGCTGCAACGTACAGTGGTGCCATATAAACACAGCATGCAGGTGGTCAGGACCCCAGAGTGGGCCCAGCTCCCTTGGAGCAAATTCTCCTTTGCAGGAGCAGGACGCCTTGGGGAGCCAAGGCATCAGCTGTGCTCCCCACCCTGGGCCTCATCTCTGTGCTGTCCTGAGAGGTACCCACACATGGAATGCTCATTCCCAGGCTTCCCCCAGTCTTTAATATCCCTGGGCTCTTCGTTTGCTGGGCAATCCAGTAGGGGGATGTCAGAATCTCATTATGCACCATCATCACGAACAGTCAAGAAGCAAGCCCCACTGAAATTTTCAAGAGAACAGCAACATAGATACCCAGCAAGCTCACAACCATTTCCTCACCCCTAGACTCAATCTGAATTACGCAGAATGTCTGAATCATCCTCTGTGTCACGAAGTTAATCCCAGCAATAATTTTTTTCTTTCTTTTGAGGAAGATTAGCCCTGAGCTAACATCCACCACCAATCCTCATCTTTTTGCTGAGGAAGATTGGCCCTGAGCTAACATCTGTGCCCATCTTCCTCTATTTCATATGTAGGATGCCAGCCACAGCGTGGCTTGACAAGTGGTGCATACGCCGGCGCCCGGCACCCAAACCAGTGAACCCTGGGCCACTGAAGCAGAGCGCATGAATTTAACTGCTGTGTCACCAGGCCAGCCCCTCCCAGCAATAAATTTTTAATGTGTTTTTTTCTGAGTTAACTTCACCCACACTAAAGTCTCTCTAATTGCTAAAAACATGCATATTCTACTGCTTAACAGTATACGGTGCTCTTTTTTTTTTTTTTCTTTTAATTAAGTAAGCTTAGGGACTATTTAGACAGAAATTTAAAATGAGTTTTTAAAGTACCTGAAAAATTCCATGAAAGAGAATCCATATCCATGCTGCTCTGCAATTCCTGCACAAACGACATTTGCTGAGGCTCCAATCAATGTTCCATTACCTGGAATCGAAATTTTAAAAGTAAAATAAAATTTCAGTTTATCTCAGTGTTGCCTTCCGGTTGCTTTTGGTCTGTAGCATTCAGATCATCTCATGGGCTTTTGATTTGGTGATTACTTCACAGGCACTAGCAAAGTGGTTGCTTTGCAAATATCTGTAGGAAAAAAAAAACCACTAGCAACCTGAAAATAAATTCACTGCTTGTAAATATAGCAATTCATTTACAGTCAGGATTATGGCTGTTCTATGTGATAGAGGAAAGGAAATGCTAAGGAGAATTGGCAAATCCCTGTGAGACATAGTGGCATATATCTTTTAGAGGAAAATGCAAGTAGGGCCAACAACCAGTGGAGAGGACGTGTGTCTTCTGAGAAGTAGAATGGAATCTCACGACTCCAGGCCCAGACACCCAGCAGGAAATCCTTCTGTGGATGGAAGGATGGATGCAACAACTAGGTTAACAAAATGCCTCTCCAGGCGAGCCTTTTTTTGACAGCACACATGATCTGTATGGGAGACATAACATGCACACACGTACATATGAGTGAGGCCTCTTGCATGGTGAGGGATGTGTCCCAAGCCAGGTCTCAACACAGTGACTCGTTCAGGGAAGGGTGACTTTGCTTAGTAAAGCCCATCAGCTCTTCTGTTGCCAACTGCAAAGGTCAGTGTTCAGGGATGGACACACAACCCAGGCTCAGGTAGTTTAGCTCAGTTCCAATGTGTCATGTCTGCAATAAACCACTGAGGAAGAGACTCTCTCTGTCTCCTGAGGACTGGCGAACTGTGAGACACAAATCTGGAGCTGGCTATGGCATTTCGGCATAAGGAAGCAGCCTTCTGAGACTGAAAAACATTAGTAACAGAAGAGCAGGAGGAAGAGGACCAAAGATGGAGTCTGGTGGCATAAGCAAGACCCTCAATGCTGCCTTTTCAGAGAACCTAGTACTGTGTCCTCTGGAATGCAGAGCATGGAGAAAAGTGTGGAATAAATAACCTCAGAGCAAAGTCACCTGCCAGGTTTCTCCACTGGGGGAGGTCCAAAACACCTGCCCTGTTCCCCAGGAGGGGCTCTGGCAAATGAGCTGTGAGTGCAAATGACACTCAGCTGAACACATGTTCCCCTCCTTCCACTCAGTCCTCACCCTCTCTCTGAAACATACAGGTAGCCAAGACCATCAGGTCTGCAGCCAGGGTCACCCACACAAATGTTCACCAAGGTCACAAGCCAGAGCCTCATCTCTCTCTCTGCCTTTCCTCCACATAAGACTTAGACTGGGAGTTTTTTTCAGCGAAAATCATTGAAACAGCATGCCATCTTGTCCATTTACACACTTGCTCTAAGGATGAAATATATTTGATGCATCAACAATATAAGACTTTAGATCTTAAGAGCTCAATAAAAACTTCCATCACCCACAGCCTGTCGAGCCCAAGTCCTGTGCATACCCTGCCTGCCTAAGGTCGGCCCCACTCTGCTTGTGGTCCCTGTGTTTCTGATGTCTCACTTTTATGACAATTCCCTTATTTCCCAGTGAACTTCAGAGTGTATGGCCCCACCCAGAGTATCAGGAAGGGTGAGGGGAGGGGGGAGGTCAGCGGTGGGGGTTGGGGGGGACCATCACCAAGGGAGAGGGATAGCTGCCCCACAGTGGAAGGAAGGGCATGACAGGCTAACACCCAGACTGCTGTGTGCAAGACAGACTTTAGGGCAGTGACAGAGAACACAGGAAGCATGGGTGGGGGACAGTTCAGGTTATAGGTGATGCTGGCTTATTCCAGGTGGTAGAATGATGCTCCCCCATTACAAAGAAGCCCATATCTTAGTGCTCAGGACCTGTGGTTATGCCATTATGTTACCCTGTATGGCAAAGGGGACTTTGCAGACATAATTCAGGTTATGGACCCTGAAATAGGAGGATTACCCTGGATTATCAGGGTGGGCCCAACTGAGTCACATGAACCCTTAAAAGCACAGAACTTTCTTCGGGTGGGAGCAGAAGAGAATCCTCAGAGGGAGAATAGCAGAGATCCCAGGAGGTGTCGCAGGGAGGGGAGGGTAAGCAAGACTCCAGGGACAGTTGGAGGGATCCCAGGGAAGGGGATCAGAGGGATCCCAGAGGGAGTCAAAGAGATCCAGGAGAGATCCCAGGGAGAGTCAAAGGGATGAGGAGGGGGATCAGAGATATGGAGAGGGTTGAAGAGATGGAGGGATGGGTATCAGAGAGATACAGGGGAAGTGGAGGGATTTCCACCGTGAGCAGGATTCCATATACCATTGCTGGCTCTGAGACTTAGGCCCATGTGCAATGACCAAAGAGGCCTCTAGGAGCTATGGGTAGGCCCTGCTGACAGCCAGCTAGGGAATAAGGATCCAGTCTTCCAGCTGCAAGGAACGGGATTCTGCCAATAACCTGAGTGAGCTTGGAAGCAGACCCAACCCCAGAGCCACAAGAAAGGAGCACAGCCTGAGGACACCTTCATCTTGGCCTCATGAGACTCTAAACAGGGACCTAGCTGAGCCACACTTACCTGATAGGCAAGAACTGTGACACAAAAAATCCTCTGAGTTTGTCTATTTGTTATGACCAGAACTGATTCTGGATTTGCATCTTGATTCTGAGATCTGCCTCTGCCCCCTCCCCAGATTTCCATTAGCTTCTTGCTAACTTTTCAATACTAGGCAGGTTCTCTCTTCTACCCAGCAGACCACTCTCCATGAAAATCAGCTCATATTTTCCAGGGCCTCATGGGGAGCCTGTTTTTGGAGAGACAGGACAGAGGCATCACATGGGAGATGTGCAGCAGGCATGAGATCAGAGAGGCAGAGAGCAAGTGCTCAGGAGGCTGGGGTCACTGGGCCCTGGCCAGGCAGGGCTTCCCTGAGGAAGTCACAGATGACAAGGGGAGTTAGACGGCTCCAAGGAGAATGAAATGGAGCAATTAGCTTCAACAAGGCATGTGGGCCCACGCAGGCTTGGGTGTGGGGTAAGTTCTGCTGGAGAAGGAGTTGAAGGAAAAGACCAGATGTCTGCCGAGTGTCTCCTCGGGGCTAGAAGCATTCGAAGGGTTTGGCATGCCTTTTGTCTTCTTATCTTCACCACGACCCTGGAGGTCCCCAGTGTCCCCCTGAAGAAACTAAGGCACAAATAAGCTGAGCAACACACTGAGTTTTCAGGGCTGTGAAGTGGTGGGCCCAGGACTCGAACCAGAAGTTCTGACTCCAGAGGAAGATAAGAGAGGGTGGGACTGAGGCTGCATGACATAAGCCTAAGGCCCTTCTGCAGACAACCACGAAGAGCATCTGAAGGGTCCCAAACAGGTGGCGATATACAAATTCCACAGCAGTGCTGGCCCTAGACAGCCTCCTCTGGGCGCTGTCTCACTGATGTATCCATCCTATCACCCTGGCAGCCAGCCGGCTCCCACTTTGGTTGAGGGGACCTGCCAATGAGACTCCATACTGTTGCCAAGCCATTCTGTCTGGCGATTATTTCCCAGGGCCTGACAAGACTGTTCCCACAGGGAAGTCCTTGTTTCTTGCATGGCCCTGCCCTGCCAGCCTCCATCATAAAGCACGCACCTCTGCGCCTAGGCAATGTCTACCTGCCAGCCCCCCAAACATTGCTACTCCGGGACTTAACATGGAGACCTCTGCTTCTGGATGACACAGAGCTTAACTCCTGATCCAGGGTCACATTCAGCAACCTGTGTGAGCTCTAAAAATAAAAAGCAACACTTTTCTTCTCTGCTGTGAGGGATTAATGACAGAAAAAATACTCCTTTTTCCAGTTAAAATGGCAGGCAGGCATTGCCTGGATGAAGCATCTTGTCATGCTGCAGTTGGTATGAATTCCTCATCTGCTACAGACCACTTGCCAGAAAACAAGAGGCCATTTCCATTTCCTGTTTCACATTGCCAGGGTGAACTGGCTCAGTGCATTAATGTATTCCTGAGCACTTACGGATTCAGGGAACAGAATGGGGAGGTTTTCAAGGATCTGAGGGAAGGGGTAGCAGCTTGATCTCCTGGGTGCACAACAACTTGAACAGGATGAAGAGGTGTGGGTGAGGTCAGAGGGGTAAAGTGAGGAGCCCCGTGACTCAAATTCTTTTCTTGGAAAGTAGATGAGGCAGAGACATGAGCAACGGCTGGACTGACTTCCTTCATGTAAGGCAGTTGCTCAGCTTTTGATTCCTATCCCCTTCTAGGGACTGCAGTGTGTATGACACTATGGGGACTGCTATTCCCCAAAGCCCTGTCTGCACTAGAATAGGCCCTCACAGCCTGACCTCCCTCCCCTAGACCCACCTGTCAGTCATCCCTTTGCACGAAGTCATTCAGCCTCCTGAAGGCCTGGTAACCTGGGAGATAGAATATTAACTGATTAAGTCTCACTGAGCCCTGTTTCTTTAAGAATGCTTTCAGCTACAGAAACCTGACTAACAGCGGCTTACACACACAGGGAAATCACCTCATCCCATGTAATAAGAAGCTTGAGGGCAGAGGGCTGATGGGTTCAGTGTCTCGCTAATGTCAGAGGCAGGTCTCCCCAATTCTCTTGGCCTCTCCCTCCAGTCACAGATGGTTTCGTGGCCACATCTAAGGCAGAAGGCATGGAGAACTGGTATGAATACATTTTTATTAGGGGGGCAAAAGCTACATCAAGAGGCTCCCAAACAGATTTCCCTTGTGTCTTATTGGTCAGTAAAATGAGACAAGGAGAGCGTATGAGCTACTAGAGGGAACATTACAATAGACGGAAGCAAAGAGGAGAGTAGGAACGGTGTTGGGTCAGCCAACCAGCAGATCCTGCACAAATGTACTGGGAACAGAGTATGTCAGCTGGTATAGTGGAAAGAACACTAGATTTGGATTCTGAAGATCTCAACTAAAGTCTCAAATCTGCTAAGCTCTGTAACCATAAGTGATCACTGACTATTTCTTTTATATTAAGAGGTTTTTGGTTAGAAGGAAAGGAAGATGCAAAACAAGATGGT